TTTTTTTAGTTTCTTCATTCATGACGTATATTGTATAGTAATTGTATAATAAGTACAGTACCTATAGAATTTTTAAATAGATATAATAAAAGTAAAATCACAGAGTGTAACTTCACTTAATTTCAATTTTTAATTGACTAGTTACTACTGAAATACGATACTATTGTTTAGTTACTAATTATTTTTTTAATATCACCTAATAAAATAATGAATATTTACAACTGATAACAAGTACAATGGATAGCTGATATCACAATCCTAGTTGGGTTGTATTTGTGGTTTCGCATCGATCCGTTTACATGCATTTTTTACTCCCGTAGTTATTTCTAATGCGCATTTCAAATGTGAATTAACTAAACCGTTTCAGGTAAGCCAAATTGATTTTAAACCGAATTAAGAGCTGTTTACATGCAATTAACTCCGGGAGTTGGCTAATTCGAATTAAGTTAAATCGGTTTAAACTGTTAAACATTGTTATAGTTGCTTTTGAAAACTATACTATTACATTGTAAATTAGTACGGTGGTACCATTTCAAGTTAATCTTATTTTATCTGGCAGTGACTGTTGTATGTCTATTTTTAATATTCTGTCGATCGGGGATATTAAGTTGATTTGTAGAATGATCGGACGCTCGTACACAGAAATATGCTATATACAGTGTACGCGGTTGTGCCGTACATGTACACATGTCAATTGTTTAATATTTTAATATTCGCCACTTTGTTATTCCGTAATTTAATTTTAGTTTAAATATTTGTCCTAACTGGCTCCTCTGAGTGAATATGCGAAAAGAAAGTTAAAACTACAAAAAGAAGAGCAAATAAAAAAATTGGCTAGATCGTTAAATCGATTTACGATACCAAAGGTGATCTCAGATACTACAATTGCATCGCTGGTTATAATAATGATAATATTGGTAAATAATAATTATGGCATATAGGAAAGGATTTGTTTTACAAGCTTTATTATTTTATTTCAAAATATATGTAGATTGTAGTTTATATGGTATGATTTGGTTTATCCTGATATTTAAGTATTGCAAAATAATGAAGGTATTGAATTGAAAACTAATAATACAATTGATTCCATTCAACAAAAATTTGAAATGTTTGACACCAAAATTGATATGGATGATTCTTATGGTATTATTATATTTTATATAAATTAAAATTATTCTTTAAATATCAAGTTGTTAATTTTTTTAGACAAAAGTTTTTTTTTAAATATAACAAAAAAAATATTTGAAGATATTTTTAAATAAAGTTATTAAAATATTTTATGAGAATTAATAATTATTATATCATTTTTCAATAATTCAGTAGTACAGATAGGGTTTTTTTAAGGAAATATATCAATAAGTTAAAATTATTATTATTAGGTACCTATTCTAGAAATTAAATTTTTTTTTTAATTTTGCATATGATTAGTTGGTGGACTTAAATTAAATTGGATAAATGGTATAAATGATTGCAACAATTAACTCAAAAAATTATCAAACATGAAAACTGTACACAGCATGTAGAAGCCATACAATTGTGAATAATTTGGTTGAAAAATTAAACTATAGTTAAAGACTTGGAAAAGCATATATCCGAAAAAGCAAAATTCTGAAGAGAAGTTTTAAAATGATTAATAAAAATAATATTATGTCTTACCGCAGGAAATACTGCATTGAGGGGAAATGAAGAAAAAGCTAACAGTAATTCTGAAGGAAATTTTTTACACACAGTTAAATTGATGGCAGAGTTTGATCTTATTTTAAGTAAACTTTTATGTAATGAAGAATCAAAAGTAAAATATTGAAGTTGGAAGACACAAAAAAAACTTATTGAATTATTGGCTGCTGAGTTAAGGAAAAATATATGTGAAGAAATAAAAAAGACACTGTGTTTCTCAATCATAGTAGATTCAACACAAGACATTACCAAAATTGACCAGGTTTCTGTGATACTGAGGTATATTGTTGTGAATTATAATGAACATTCTGTGCAAATAAAGGAATCGTCCTTAGGATTTTATGCATTAATTAATCATAGCGCAGAGGGACATTTCAACTTAATACTTAATATTTTGAAAAAATATAATTTAGATGTTAAAAAATGTAGAGGACAAGGCTATGACGGAGCTTCAGTTATGAGTGGTGTTAAATCAGAGGTACAAAAAAGGATTTCTGATGTAGTCACTAATTCCTTATATGTACATTGTACTGCTTATAACATAAATCTAGTAATTGCTGATGTTGCCAAAAGTTCATTAAAAATTTCTACATTTTTCGATATAGCCCACAATATATATTTGTTTTTCAACCAAAGTGCACCTACATGGGCATCATTAGAATTCGGTAATGATATAGAAAATCAAATACAAAAAAAAATTTTGAAAAAAGTGTAAAAGTGTACAATACAAGATGGGAAGCTAGACATTCATCTTTATACGCATTAAAAAAAATTTTTATTAGTGTTGAAATCTTTGACAAATATTTCATTAACTAGCAAAAAAAGTGATGAATTAAATAGAGCAAAATCTCTTAAAAAAAAAAATGCAATCTTTTGAGTTTGTTTTGCTTATAATTATTTGGGAAAATGTTTTGAAACCATTATTTGTGGTATCCAAGATGTTACAGAGCTCACAAACCACTATCCATCTAGCCAATGAGTTTTTGCAAATTGGTATTAATTAAATTAAAAACATGAGATATAATTATAAAGAACTGGTATAACCATCAAAAAATATGTCTAAAATGGGGAATACAATTTCAAAATGAAAATAAACGAAAAATTTATTCTAAATATTATTTGGTGAAGTTGATGGTGATGGAGATTGAATTTTACAGAGGTAAAATTTTATGTTTCAGTATTTTTACCATTAGTTGATACTGCTTTATTTCAACTCGAATATCGTTTTAAAGGACTTAAAATAGTATCAAATACTTTTAATTTTTTATTGCCACCAAATATAATGAAATTAAATGAAGCAGAAATAGTAAAATCATGCTATATTTTATTCAGTTTTACAAAACTGACGTAACATTCGATTTAACTAGTCAAATTCTATCTTTAAAGGAATTTATAAAAAAACACTGATATGAAAACAATTAAAGAATTATGTATATAATTAATAGAAAATGACCTATCATCTTTGTATAGTGAAGTTGTTACATCTTGTATTATATTTTTAAGTTTACTAGTGACTGTAGCATTGGCCGAACGGTCATTTTCTAAACTTAAACTGATAAAAATCTATTTCAGAAACTCGATATCTCAAGACCAACTAACAAATATAAGTATATGAAGTATAGAAAGAGTTCGTACTGATGAACTTGATGTAGAAAAATTAATTTTTGACTTTGCCAATCAAAAAATTAAAAAAAAAATTTTTTTTAAAGTAATTTTTATATTATAAATATGTTATTATTTTTATAATTTTAAATGTATTTACTATTTTGTATAATATTTTAAATAAGTAAATATATGTATTTATGTGTAATATGTAAACGTATGAAAAACATAAATATTAAATTTTTTTATTATAATTTTAAACGTATATCAACCATTTTTATCTAAGTAAATGTTGTATTTTTTTTAGTTAAAAAGAAATTTAAATTCTGATGGATACTTATCGTTTACATACATAAATATATTTTTCATGAAAATATTTTGTAAAATTTTGGTAAGTAAAGGGCCCTATTATTTGGTATTGCACCCCGGTCCTATATTAACCTTAGTTTCGGCGCTGTATATAATTATACTCGTATAGTATGTGCATGATTCAATGATGCACTGATGATGGATATATTATAAATATCTTGTGTATACTGCGTATGGGCATCAATAGGTAATTAGTATGTGGTTGAAAAGTTGGTCGAGTGTAGGCGACGAGGCGCTGCTGAAATCGGTTAACAACTACGGCGGGACGAACGGAGGTGCTGTTCCGGTGTGCCATTATTATAATATTATATTATACGAGTTGATGATGAATATGAAAATATTTTCACTCGCAATTAGTGCAATAATATAGTATAGAGAGAGACGTCTATATCTGATGCCTGAAACTGATTGCGGAGTCGTTATTGCATCAAAACGTGGGTATGTACAGAGTGATTTTTAATCAACACTCTTCGTATCTATATTTAAGACTAAGCGCTTGCCAATTATTATAACTACTGATTCGATATTCGATTTGTTTGCTTCGAAGATTTCAAAAAAATATTATTCTTCATAAAATTAAAATGTAATATAATATATATTTATCATTTATTATCGTCTAATAAAAATCAAAAAAAAAAAAACTTAAAAAGTTTTAACGATATTGAAAAATATAAAATATAATATAATTATTCACAAATATGTTGTAATACTAACGATAATAATTTGAAATAATAACAAAAATCGAAAAAAGAAAACAGTGTTGAACGACAAAAAATAAAAAATAAAAATCACCCTGTTCATGTAATATGTTTTACTACAAAGTTTACGTGTTGTTACATGCCATTTCGCAGCATAAAATCACATGCAATTAAAGATGATACATATCGAAAAGATGCGCACAGGATAACGAGGATTAACGGGGTCCTGTGTTCGCATTTTATTATTGTACACACCACAATAAACTATGAAGCGTTTACGTGATTGGAATTGTTGTTGAAACGGGCGTCGCGTCCGTGTGATTACGAAAATCGATCGAGATGTATTGTTTAAAAAAAAAAACGACCATCTCCTACCCGATGATTAATTTTTCTTGCTGTTACGCCAAAGAGAAACACGACTGGATGGCGGGTGGATATTGCCGTTAAGAAATTTTTTCGTGTACGAGCGGACGGCTGCATTTTAATACAACACAAAAGACAATATTACATTGTATTGTTCCCTACTATGTGCGGTTTGAAGGATTTGAGGACATCACGTGAAACCGCGGACCTGCTAGAGTAATTAGAGCCACGAGACAAAAGCTTATTGAAATGTTCTAGAGTAATCGTTTAA